TATTAAAATGTTTAATTTGGTGGGAATTTGGAAGGGAGAAAACAACAAGAAGTTGCCGCATCCAGACACAAGTTTTTGTGGGTTTTGTCTGCTATGTTGAATTATGAATAAACCACACCATTTTTGGAAAGGGAAGTTACCATGTAAATTGTCACTTTTTTTGGGGCTTTTTTCTTTTTATAATTGGGGCCTATTAAAAATGCCCTAATTGCAACATTAAAGGGACAAATGTATGTCGCATGACATGATTCTCTCATCAAAAGGATAAGGAGATAAGGGCGGATGTGCTCAGCACCTTTGGGAAAATAACACGAAACTGATATACTAGTATTTAGAGTGAAAGGATATACATCTTTGGCTATAGCCATAGGGGCATAGTAGGACCCCATATGGCCCCTTCCAAGGACTTCTCTTTGGATGACATTTATCATTGAAAACGACGAGTAATAGAGTGGAAACTTTTAGCTTAAATCTCCAAGGTTATTTAATTTTGGTATGTTTATTTTGATTAATACATATGATTAGAGTTAATATTTAAAAATTATGAATTCAAAAATTTAAATATTTTATATCTTTTTCAATTAAATATTTAATAAGATAAGAAAGATTTAAGAATAAATTAAGAACTTAAAAAAAAAAAAACTTACATTTTAATTACTCTACCCACGTTTTATTTTGAACTAAATTAGCATTCTTTCTGTCTCACTATGTTTGTTTTTTATGAATCAAACAAATTTTAGGTCAATATTTTTAATAAAATTAAAAAATTTTTAAGATTTGTAAAATTTAAGTATAAAATTTTCAAACAAATTTTAAATTTAATATAACATTTAAAAATAATGATCAAAATTGAATTTATTTAACTAAAAAATAAAAGTAAAACTTGAATATACAAAATGAGACCGAAAGAGTAATAGATTTACTGCAAACTAATTAATATATTTTGCTTAACCAAGGATTTCAATTCTCTCCTAAATTTGTACACGTTAACAAAGTGCAAAAACACGACTGTGGTTGATAGATAGAAATAAGATTTAGGAAACTTATTAAGCTAATGGAAAGGTGTAATATGAAATGTAAAAGATTAGGAGTAGCAGTCAACAAATTTTTGTTCATTTGTTGCTTTTTCATCTATAATAAATTCGAAAGACCCAAGGGGTGAGAATGAAAATTTGAGAGCTTTAATAAATACTCACATGGTTTTATCATTTATGTTGTTTCATGAACTTTCTAATTTGACGGGTAAGCATGTTTGACCACATTTAATTTGTCTTTCACGTTGATTTTAGTTGTTAATTTGAGTTTGAATTCAAAAAAATAAAGCTATAACTGTTAAATCAATAACATTAAAATCGATTTCAAAATTAAAAATCAAAGATGTCGAATTTAAATTTCAATCCCAATTTCAAATCAATTTAGCCTTAAGTAGAAAAGTCCATGACCAAGAAAACCAGCACCGAGAGCAATTTGAGCCAACCCCATAAGCAATAGTCTTCTTAATTAAATATGAAGTACTATAATTTTCATTCAACAAAACTAATTATTATAATATGAAGCTTCGAGAAGTCACGCATGTTTATTGTAAGAATAAAATATATTATAGAATATTAACGTTGGGTTTAATGGTAAAGAGTTTGATTTTACTTAAGTAAAATTTTGATTTTAAATTTTATAAATAAAAAAATAAACATTAAAAGAGTTTGTCTTCTTATGATATTCGATTTGATTTGATTTCAAAATAATTAAAATTTAAAATAATTATCGCACATCATCAGAATATCTCATACAAAAAAAAAATATATGGTGTAGAATGTTATACATAATCTCTAATTTATTAGTTGCTTTCAATAATGTTCATTTTTTTAGTTAGTTCACGCTTGAGGATAATCATGGCCGTCCTTCATTTATAATATGTCCGGTTGTATCAGTGTTATAATAATACTAATACATGTAATGTTTTAAAAACACATTATTATTAAGTTGTTAATTCATTTTTTTTACATTTAGTATAATAATTAATTACAAAAAAAGGAATAATATTTTGAAAATATTAAAAGAATATATTCTTTTACTTGATAATTATTATGAAAATTAATAATTTAAACTCAACCTCTCAAATTTACCCTCGAAAATTTCCTTTTAGGCCGTCTCAAAATAAAAAATATTTTTCAATGTTTCTCAAAGTAGATGGATTGTAAATTTAATCATCACTTTGAGTAAAGTGATAAATTTGTTTGAAGAAGACCAAATATTCAATTTAATTCAAACATCTCTTTCAATATAATATGGAACAATTAGTTAGCCAATTTTTTGTGCTGTTGGTAGTCTCGAGAAGCTTTGATATTGCATTTCTTCATCTAAAAAGGAGTAGACGGTGGAAGTAACAGGACCACAAAGCAGCAATCCAAAGAAAATGAAGTGGGCATAGGCAATATCTGGCATACATATAAACGATAAAACAGGCACAGGCACATATAAAGACATAGATGTTAGGGATTTAAATTTTTTGAATGTATTTTTAAAAATAATTGTATGAATCATTTTGAATTTTATTATTAATTCAAAGTTTAGGATACCTATATCCAATTATATCTTGACATCTGTTAAGGTAGGGAAATGACTCTAAAGGTGAGAAGGAAATCGAAAAAATAAAAAATTGGTTCGATTTTATAATATTCGATTAAGTTTAAATTAAGTTATAATATTAAATATATATATATTATATTTGGATTAAATATCAGGTCAAAAAGTAAAAAATCAAATAAAATGAATTGAATTGAATCCAATGATATATTTTTATTAATTTTTATATATTTTAAATTTTTATAAAATAAAATAATTAGTTTATATTTAAAATTATTTAAATGTGTTAAAAATTATATTAAAATAATATTTTAAATTAAATTAAATTTAAAAAATTAATTAATTATATCATATTGATAAAATTGATTCAAATCAAATCAATTCAATTTGAATCAAATTTTAAAATTTATAATATTATATATTATCAAAATAGCTAAATCGGACCGTTTTCACTATTTAGTTCCACGAAACATCTTAATCTTCCTCTACAAACAAAGTGGCTGTGGATCCCATGCCTCGATCGCATTCTGATCGAAAATGACTGCAAATGTGGGGCGAGACACGCTGCCCTGGACCATCTCTGCATCTTGGAAAACCTTTTCACTTAAAGGAAATTAGGAATATAATACAGACCTTCAGCAAATACAACTAGAAATCTAGAATTTTCACCTTTTTAGTTTAATTTCTTTTTCTTGGGTATTAATGATAGGAGAAAAATTTTATGTTTTATTACCGACCACATTTGTGAAAAATATCAGTTGATGTAGCAGTCATCACTCAACAAAATTGACAAGAAGAAATTAGTTCATGTGGCTAGTAATAGAAAAAAATACAAAATTATATTGTTATGGAAATTTTTACCTTTAAAAAACATAATTCTTGTGGAGTTCAAAATTTTGTTATTAATAGAATATCAATGGCTCAATCCATCAATGGGTCTATTCTGTTGATTTGTTTGCTTCGGTGTTCAGGTTGTGGAATAAAATGCATAGCTTGTCACTTGGGTTAGATAACTTACAAAATTAGAAGTTTCCACACAAAAAATTAAGAATGAAGAAAATAAGAGGAAATAGAGAGGGAAAAAAAGGGTGAAGTTGCTTTCATCTACTATAAAACATTACAATCACCCAACAAGAAAATATCACCCTGTAAATTTATTTATCAAAGAAAAATATCAACCAGTAAAATTAATTTTATTACTTTTTTATGTTAATCATTGCACAAATTTTAGAGAACATTTTTGTATTCACGTAAACGGCTGTTTGAAGTAAATGGTAAAGAAAATATAAATTTAAAATTTAATTTAATTAATTTATATAATCATTTTAAATAATAACGTTTAATAGATTTAAAATTTAAAATTTATAATATTTTTATTTTTTAACTATGATTTTTTTATAAAGCATTAAAAAATATTTTATTTATAATTTTTAATATAATCATTTAATTATTTATAGTAATAAAAAAAATATATAAATTAAATATTCATAAATATAAATTATAAATAAAATTTTGATAAATCATACTTCCTTTAGGTAATGTTTGGTATTTTTGTAACAAAACTATGATAACATAATCATCAAGGTGATTTTATTATCAAAGTAATTTTATTACTCGTTATTTAAAATTATTTTATTTTGTTAATAATCATTAATTTTTAGAATTGAAAATCATTGTATTTTGTATTATTAAAAAATAAATATTATTATATTTAAATGTACAAAAATAATCATACATATTGTAATAATTATATGAATTAATAATTTTAATGTTGTTTAAAAATAATAATTTGTAAAATATTAGTAATATTTTATTTATTTTACAATAAAATATAATTAAATTAATAAATATATTTATTGATAGATAAATTGATTTGTGTATGTATATATATATAATGTAAAGAAAATATTTAAATTAGAAAATAAAATAATCATTTAAGTTTACAATAAAAGAAAAACAAAAAGATTATCTATATATAAAATATTAAAAAATACAAAATACAAAATTATTTTTAAACATGTTATAATAAATATTAATTTAAAAATATCAAAATATATAATTATAATTTTAAGAGAATAATAAAATTTTAATTCAGATATTAGATATAAAATGTTAATTATTATAAATTTTTATATTACTTTATTTCGTTGATAAAAATATATTTATTTTTTAAATAAAAATTAAATTATATTTTAAAATAATAATTTAATCATTTTTGATGATTTAAAATTATAGTTAATACTTGTCATATAAAATAATTTAATCAATATATATAAATTACTATGATTTTTAAAATAATTATTTTACACCAAACGCCATCGTAAAAACGCCATCGTAATTAATTAATTATATACTTTCAAAAGTTGATCATTAAAATTTGAAAATTTACCTTCGGAATTGGAATCTATTGACGTAAGCTGAATGGGCCCTTTTCTAGTTCTCACCTCCCATATCACCAAAGAGGAGAAAATAAAACTCTATAAATATGGGTTCAAGATTACCAAACCTAGGCTTGAAGACGCCACTACAAAGGCATCTTCCAGGTCCTTCTCCTGCTCTCCCTCCTCCTTCCTCTTTTCCAAAAGGCTACCGTAACTCTTTCTCTTCAACTTTCCAACACTGGACCTCTTGTCTCCCGTGCTCAATCCCCGAAAAAGCATGGTCGGACCTAACCCCACCATCAAATTCCTCTGCAGTTACGGCGGCAAAATCCTCCCTCGTTATCCTGACGGCAAACTCCGTTATCACGGCGGTGAAACCCGTCTCCTTGCTGTTGATCGCTCCATTTCCTTCTCTGGTGAGTAGATTCTTTTATCCTTTTGTCAACCAAGTTATTTTTTCTGTATTTATTTTTGTTTAGTTTTTGAAGTAATATGGTTTAGGTTAGTCATAAGTTAAAAACGGGCGTTGTTTTAAGTTGGAGAAATGATGAAGAGTGAAATATATTATATGGTACAGAGCTGTCGTTAAAGATGGAAGAGATGTGTGGGAAAGCGGTGAGTCTACGTTGCCAGTTGCCAACAGAAGATCTGGACGCCCTGGTTTCGATCACTTCCGATGAGGATCTCGCGAATCTCATTGAGGAATACGATCGCGTAGCATCGCCACCGTCTTCTTTAAAGATCAGAGCTTTCCTTTCGCAGCCAAAATCCACTAAAAAACCAATTTCTCCTCCTTCTTCATCATCGGCTTCGTCTTCAAAGTCGGTAACTTCATCCACTCCCAGGTTCTCCTGTATACGTCAGATCTCGGGGACTCCTGTCGCTTTCCCTCTTTGCTCGGAGAAATCTGCGGGGAAGAGTAGTCCTTACTATGGTTACCATGCTCATCATGGCAACCCTAGTCATATTTACCTTATTCATAACGGGAATCACTGGCAATAGCAGCTGGCCAAAAGAAATGAAGGATCGTAATTTAGTAACCCTGTTATGATCCTGTTTGGATTGCTGAAGAACAAGTAAAAGAATACTACCCGTAGAACTAAAAAAAGAACTAAAGAACCAAAGCTATATGATGTATTTGGAGCTGTAAATCGTTTAAGGACTGCTTTTGATGATGCGTGGCCATTAATGAATTTTCCACTCCAGTTTCGTTTTGGATCATCTCCCAAAAAACCCAAATATTTCTTTTATGATGGTGAGTTTTTTTTTTTGTGGAATGTTCGTTGTCCAGTTCGATTCACTTCACTGTTTACAGCTTCCCCCATTTTTTCACTTCTTCAATTTTCGGTTCCGTTCAAGCGCCATTTGCACTAATCATTCAACAGCAGCAGATGTTTTTATGTCAGATCCAGTATTTGCGTGTCACGTTCCTTTCTCTTATCCTCAACCGCCTGTGTGTCCAACGCGTTTCGCCGGCTTTATTCTCTTCCTTTTTCATTGCGTATTTTTCGTGTCTCCACATGTTTCTTTTCCTCCTTCACCCTTTTTTCTTTCTCTGATCTTCTTTTTCCATTTTTGCATTTTTCCCTGGTTTTCTTTTGATTTTTCCCATCGCTTTTATTTATTTATTTATGTTATATTTACTTTATTTGATTGTAATTCCATTGTTTTGATATTTGCAGGTTAACGAAGATATTAAATGAATGGGGCTTAATGAAACACCAAGCAGCCTTTGAATGATCCGAGGTAGCAATGGACGGAAAGTAATGTAAGTTGCTTTTACTATATTCTCCTTTTCAGGTTTCTTATTTCTTTTCTCGTATTATTAGTGTTTTTTTTTATACTAATCTAAAATTTTCTTTACTTGTTTACAGTAGTTTTTATACACCATTTTCATGTCAAGAATAATAAGACAACCCTTTATTTTATATAAAAATTAATTGATGACTTATAAAACATAAACCATAATGTCTTCTCCATTAAAGATTACTGCATCAATGAACTTGTAATTACAGGGTCAGTCCAAACCCCAAATTACTCCCCTATTTCAAAGACTTAAATCAAAATCAAGTTGTAATTATATTCAAATATGCTTGTGTTAGTTACTTAATTGAATATGTAACATGAGATGATGATGAATCATTTTAAGGTGAGTTCATGTCGTTTTATGGATTTTTTTTTTTTTTTGTATCTTTACCACCTTCTGACGGAAAACCAATAGGGATAAACAGATCATTCTGATTTTCTATGGTAAGATTATGATATTTAATATTAGTACTAAATACTCTGTGATTTGGGTGTCCCATTATTTCTTCTGTTCAATGATTTGAAATTTCGTTCCCGTTGGTGATCAGTTTTGGGCCATAGCTAACTCTTTATCAGTGATTTTAATTTTTGTCCAGATTTGATATATATTATATAAATTATATATGTTAATTGCAAGGGGCCAAAGAAGCACCGAATCAATGATTGTCTTAATGCCAAACAAAATTCCAACTAGGCAATAGCAATAAATTCTGGAAGCATAGGATTGGGGGACCATTGGAAGAATCAGATGAAGCATAACCGGAATTTGTTGAACATGCAATGGAGGGAAAGCCATAGAACTGTCCCATTTGACGTCTGGTATACATATGAATTATTGAGGGTCTTGTGGGTATGATGATTGGATGTTTTCTTGGAAGTCGGCCTGGTTAGTAACTTGGGGCTGGATTGACATGTGAAAGAAAAACAAGTCAGAGAGGAACGGAGGCAGTATTGGAAGTAGGGAGCATTGAGTAGAGGGTTCATAACAAGATACCTTTACGAAGGAGTGGTGTTGATATGATCAATTGACAGTTGACTTGTCCTGACATGGACAATTGGTTTATTGTCAGACCAATTGAGCTGATTTAGCGACCAAAGCGTAAACTGCGGGACTATAACAGAACTGATGAACAATATAATAATAGCTGACAAATAATTTCGTGATAATAAAGAAAAAGAAGATGAAAACAGAAAGAAAAAGACGAAAGTTTCATTCAAACAAACACAAAGAAGAGGATGAATAAAGTGCTGCCAACTCTATCAGTCTATGATTTTTTGTTCAAAGGAAGGGTCTCCACTAACGTATCATTCAAAAAGAAAGATTCCCTTTGCTGACCCATGCAATTTTGGAGAGATACGAAGGATTTATTTATAACATTAAAATTGAATTAACAAAGGGAAAACAAATATGAAAGTGAGTTTGATGATTGTTATCTTCTGGGGATAAAGATAAAGTGATTTTAAGGTTATCCTACCCCACCATGTCCGATCTTTTTTCTTTAATGTTGTTTTTCTTCTTAAGATGAATATGATTTAAAAAAAAAAGAAAAAAACTATACTGAAAAAGATGCCAACAAGAAAGTATAAGCTTGATCTTTAGTCAATTGGACCTAAGTCAGCTTGGACTTCTAATACTTCTGTTTCCTTCACCTTATAAGATGGTTAGCATAAGTTATTTACATCTATTTATAATATATAAAAGTAGGGATGTCAAGAAGCTTTCGAACCGACGAAAATTGAAATTGGTGTTTGATTATATTTTTAAATTGTTATTTTAATTTTTTAGTATAAATGTTAATAAGATTTATCCAATTTGGATCTTAGATCGCTCACTCTCAGTAAGAAACACTGGGCAGAATCCCGGTTCGACAAATAGGATTTTTGGACCATGAGAACAACTCACTATAGTCGAATTGGGCTCTGCTACTCGGGTCTCATTTGGGCCCAGAAGCAGAAGAAACTGAGTTTGTTTTTTTGGCCGAAAGAAGAAACTGAGTTCAGAATGCTTTTCTCAGCATCATCTTTATCTGTAGAGTTTCAAAAAAATCAGGCTGATTAGAAGTCCACACCCTCCCACACCCCCCCCCCCCCCAAAAAAAAAATCCCTGTATTTTCAAGTTACGATATTTTATGTATAAAAAATATTTTTTATTTTTTAGGAGTTAAAACAAAAAACACCTGATTTCAAAGGAAAAAAAAAAGAACGCTTAATTAATCTACTAATTAAGACTTGTTTGCATGTACATGCATGGATACAATTATTAAAATAACCATTAACATCATTGGGTGATCATGAAAATATATGGTTTTAATTAAATAAATAACATGAATACATTTCTAGCATTTAGTCAAAGAGATAAGTTGAATAAAACGCCAACATGGCCGCTCCATGTATAAATGATCAAAATGTACAATTAATTCTTGTATTTTTCACAAAATGGTGGATTTAATCTCTATGCATTAATTTATTAAAATTGAATCCTTAAGTTTTTTTGAATTGTTAAATATAATTCAATTATTAATATGATTAAAATTACGCCATTAAATTTACTAATATGTTGTTTAATCTTAATGACATGGGATTAACCTAAATGACAGGACTCTAATGGCATTGTCTTTGTATCGACAGAATTCATGTCATTACGATCAAACAACGTGTCAGCAAACTTAACTGCATAATTTTAATTCCATTTGTGATTGGACTACATTTAACAGTTCATAAAAAGTTCAGGGATTCAATTGTGACAAATTAATGTATAGGAAGTAAATCCACAATTTTGTGAAAGTACAAGGATCAATTATACAATTTGAGCTATATAAATTTATTATCACCATTATTTTGTTGATAACTATGTAATTTTGGATGTAAACTTTTTTTTTCTTTTATTTAGATAGTTAAAATTAATCCAAATCCATGTTATTTATATCACTCAGTTAAAGTACATGAAGTAAGGTAAAATTAAAATATTTATTTAAATCCTATTGCATCCGTGTCAACGTAATGAATGTATAACTTTATTGAAAGTTAAAATATTAAGCCAATCCCATCTTATCTATATGACTTAGTTAAAGCCAATGTAGGGGACGTGTATCCCTTCAAAATTTAAGATTGAAAATTTGGATTTAAATACATATATTGACATACGGAAGGACGTTCATTGGTAACAATACTTGAAAATAATAATTTATAGCACATAAAATAATTATAAAGCTTCTTGCAAGCCTTTAATTAATTGATAACCACTAAACTATTATGGCTTTAATTTGATACTTATGGATTGGGTGAGACCAAAGTTAGCTTAAAGTTGAGCTAGTAAACGTGTTAGATTTGTCAACAAAATTGATTGAAAGTTAAGTTGATGAACGTGCTAGATTTATTAAAAATATAAAGTTAGGAAACATCAAAATTAAGATTTTAGAATATATTTCGATACTCAAATCATTCAAATGTTTGAAAAAAGTAAAGAAAGAGGCAAAAAAAAAAAAAAAAAAAAGTAGAAGGAAAGAATAAAAAGAGTGTTGAGAATATTGCATATCTGATTTAGTTCATTTTTAAATCTCATGAATGATGATGTAGCTAGCTGGAGATATGATTATTTGTCTTGTGTAAACATCGGTTTTGTCTTATCTTTTTTAATAATAATAATGATTTTAATAATAATAACAATAAAATTGATTTAATTAAAATTAAAAATAAATTAATTATTACAAATTAATAAAATTAAAAAAAAAAGACACAGAAATGTCCAAACGAAAAAAAAACAAAAAAACATAATAGCTGGTGCCAGAGGGTGCCGTACACGGCATCGATGGCCGCCCACACCCCTGCCCAACCATCCACGCCCCTGCCTAGCCATCATACCACTACCTTAGCCATCGTACCCCTGTCCTGTCCTTTCACCAAAGTCTTGTTCACCTCCTAGAACATGCCAGAAACCTAACTCTCCATTCCCTTAAAGCCCTAGCTTCTTTTCCCTTTCAGAAGCTCTAGAATCTAGAGACAGACACCCAAAAACACCAATCCCATCAGACTCACTCACCAGTACCGATCCCTCTTACCCATACAAATACCCAAACAGAAAAATAAAAACAAAGACAAATAATCCTCCTCGTAGGGAAGAACCTTAGCACCAAACCTCCTTGCAAGAACAAAAAAATCAGATCAGTCTTCATTTTACAAAAAAAAAAAAAGAAAATTTCAAACCTCAATCTACGTCGATTGGGGCAATTTCTAGCGAAAAAAAGGCTGGATCGAAGCTCAGAAGAATACAAGGAATTTTTTAGACCCTTTTACAACTTTTCGATCGCCGGCGACCGACGACTGACGACCGACGATCGGAGACGTCGACCAAAGTGGCGGATGATCACCATCCGGTAGCCTAGAGAGAAGGGCTCTAAAGAAAAGGAAAGTTAGAGAGAGAGATGGGAGAAAAATGAAGCAAATTTTTTTTTTTTTTTGCTTTTATAGAAGATGAAACTCAAAACGATATCATTTAGAGAAAGGCCTAAAACGACGTTGTTTTAGCCAAGAAGATCTGCGCGTTAACCAGGACCCGACCCGGGGTCCATGCAATCGACCCACCAACCAGCCTCTTAAATCGATTTGACTAAATCGGACCGAATCGCTCTTTAGACCGAATTGAACCGCTCATCAGTCGGCTCAACCGAACCGCACGCCAACCAAACCCTTTTACGATCCAACCGAACTATTGTTGACCGGACCATTGACCGATCCAGTTCAGGTAAAAAATTTTTTTTTTGAAATTTTCTATTTTTATATATTATTATTTTTATTATTTTTGGTATTTATTTATTTATTTATGCATGATAAATTTTTAAATTTATTAGAATAATTATTTGATTATTTTTTATTGATAATAAAATGAAATAAAATAGGATTATAACTAAAAAAAAGTAAAAAAAATTTTAAAATGCTAAATAACAATAATAATACTTTAAAGGAATAATAATAAGAATAGATTTTTTTCATTTTCCCTGCCTAAATGTTGAAGGGAATAAAAACATACCCTAAAATATAATTTCGCCTAGATGTTGAGGAATTATATTATCAAAATATAATAATAATAATAAGATTAATAAATAAAAAAATAGATAATAATAATAATAATCCTCATTAAAATATATATAAAGTATAATATTCTTAAAATTCATAAAAATTGAACTTGCTCCAAAAGTTTGTCTAGATGTTGGAGATTTTTAGAGATGTTCGCGTTCTAAAATTTCAAACCTTAAAACCCTAAACCCTAAAATCTAAATCTCAAATCTTAAAATAAAACCCACTAACCCTAAACCGTAAAATCGAAATTCCAAACCTTAAAATCAAAACCATTGATCCTAAACCTTAAAATCGAAATCCTAAATCCCAAAATCTGAAACTCGAAAACCTAACCCTAAAATCCAAAATTTCAAACCCTAAAACCTAAAAACCTCAAAATTCAAATCCAAAAATCCCAAATTTACACAACTCCGAATCATCGTAAAAAAAAATCGTTCAAACTTTAAAACCCCTAAAATCCCAAAACTATTCTGAAAATCCTAAGGCCACATGTGAAAATCTCATGTGAAATAATTTATTCCCGAATGTTGCCTAGATGTAGGGTATTTAAAAAACTTTATTTCATTAAGTTTTTTCACACTAGTTCTTAATTCGCATTAATAACAGGATTATTAAATAAAAAGTATTAATAAAATGGGATCTTAAATATAAATAGTCATACCTAAGCTCTGCTTAGATGTTGGATAGTCGGGGTGGTTTTATTATACTTAAGAACCCAACTTTACAATTGCATTTCATCTTACATTTTATTCATTGACATACATACATCATCATGTTATTTGTGTTGTATCTCTCTGTCCTTAACATTTACTTGCTACTTGACAATACCGTTATTTATTTTCTCATATAGAACTTAAAAAAAAAAAACATTTTTTAAAAATTTGAAATTATAAAATAAAAAAAAATAATTCGAAGGAAATAATTCTTGATACTCTGCCTAGATATTAGAGAGTCACTAACAATTATCTTCTATAAAGATTATTATTTCATTTTAAGGATTATTGTATTAAATCTTAAGTGAAAAGAGTTATTTTAAATTCTACCTAGATGTTGGAGAGTTTTAAGATAATTTTTTAACTTAAAGATTTTCTCAATATTCTAAATAAAAAAATTTTTTAAAAAAAATTTTTTAAATGAAGGGGAATTAGTATTAAGTTTCAAGTCAAAACCATTTTATCCAACACCGAAAATAGCACATAATTAAATGATAGCAATTTATAGGTGTTGTGGGGGTGCTAATCATTCCTTACACGTAACTGACTATTGCACCCAACCTGATTTTCGTAGATCAAAATTTATCTTTTTGACAAACTTTAAACTCGTTTTTAGAGTTTCATTAAAAATATTAACTTTTGGGTGGCCAATCATACCCTAAAAAAGATTGGTGGCGACTTCCCTAATTTATTTTGATTTTTAAACTCCTTTACGTCCAGCGGTCCCAAAGCCATTACGACAGCTTGGCGACTCTACTGGGGATATTAATTCGAGAGTCAAGTCAAAATTTTTAATTATGCACTACTAAAAATTATTGGATTTAATTGGTTTTATTTGACATTTCATTTAATCTCCTTTATTTTGATTTTTCAAAAATATATATGTTAATAAATAAGATAAATTGTATGTTAGTTGTTATTTTAATTTAATTTTGTATTTCGATTAATACATTACTTTGCACACACTT